ACAGCTTCTCGCTTCTTTACTCTGGGGAGGTTCCAGGCACCTGGTGTGAGAGGCCCAGGCCTCGGGCCTCGCTGCCCGAAGCCACACGAGCAAGACGTGTAAGAAGAGGAGCCCCTGGCCCCAGGCCCCAGGCCCCAGGCCCCAGGCCAGCCTTCGGATCAGACTGCAGCCCCAGCCGCCAGCAGCCTGACTCAAACTCGGGATAGACCCCAAGCCAGAACCGCCAGCCCCGTCCATCCCGATTCCTGACCCTCCAAAACCGGTGAGAAAGGCTTGTTTTAAGCTGCTAACCCTCGTCCCGTGCAACAGACAACTCCTATGTTATCACTCTTCCGACCTCAGCTATCGAGGGACAAGCCTTCTGGAACCTGTGAGGATCCTGCCTTTGGGTGCGGCCACAGAGGCCCTAAGAAGCCCAGACTTCCTGCATGACATCGAGTCCTCCCTGTGTGTGCCGGTCACATCCAAGGGACTAGCCTTCTTCTGGAAAAGACAGGTAGCCTTCCGCCAGCAGAGAGCAGAGGCAGCGAAGGAAATGCAGGTGGCGTCGCAAGTCTGAAGACCTGGACAGTGGTTTCCTGGAGGGACGACAGCTGCCCGGGAGCAGGGACACGTCTGTGCGTGAGCGGCTTCATGGCGCCAGTACCCAGGAGGGAGCCGTGAGCAGCGACTGGGCAAGAAGCACGCACAGGCCGTGGCCCTCACCTTCCCTGCACCGCGGCCGGGCACAGGCCGGACCCGGCACCCTGGCCCTCCTTACGCCCCACACGCCCATGCACCAGCAGCACGTGCGATCCTCAAACCCCGTTATCACTTCTCGGAGGAATAAACTGACGCCTGGGAAGCCGGGGAGGATTGCCCGAGGCCACCCCAACAACGTCCGTCAGAATGCGCACCCGGGACCCGGACCGATCTGAGCCCCGACCCGGCCTCACACCCTCCCGACAGCTGAACGGGTCTCCTCGCGTCACCCAGACGATGGAGCTGGGGTGAGCTCGGGCACTCGGTGTGCTAGCTCCCTTTCCCATCAGGTCCGGCTCAGGGAGGCCCGGCCACCCCGGTCTCTCGTGCCCAGGATCTACGGTGCAGAGACCGTGGCCTGCTTTCCAGTCGTTGGAAGTAGCTCCTGCCACTCTCCGGAGCTGATGACCCTGGGTGTTAAGCCCCGGATGCGGATGCGCTCCCGGGAGTGCTCAGGCTGAAGCTCCGCCCACCTGCAGGAGAGTGGCGGGGCGGCCACAGCGAGCATCCCTTTCTCATGGTCCACGGGTCGCGTGGCTCTGCATCCCAGTCTAGACTGGATGCACGTGCAGTCTTTGGACCAATGGGTTTGTCGTGGTGATGGCAGAGGCTCCAGGGCGAGTATCCAATGGCTGAGGCTGGAGCTGGTGCAGTGTGAGTGTGAGCGTGTGTGAGTGTGAGTGAGTGTGTGTGAGCGTGTGTGTGAGTGTGTGAGCGTGTGTGTGTAAGAAGTGTGTGTGTGAGGGTGAGCAGTGTGTGATTGGGTGTGAGTGTGGTGTGAGTGTGTGTGTGTGTGTGTGAATGAGAGCATGTGTGAGTGTATGTGTATGAGTGAGTATGAAGTATGTGTATGAATGTGTGTGAGTGAGAGTGTGTGTATGTGTGTGAGTGTGTGTATGTGTGTGTTGGGGGGCAGCTAGCAAAGTCACACAGCAAAGGGCATGGCTACCAGGAGAAGTGAGGCACATGGTGGCCAATCAACCTCCTGTACCTCCCTCCTCCATCCTGAGCCAATCCGATGGCAGCTCGGCCACCAAGAGCATCTGGGTGACCCAGGCGTCCCAGCCAGGCCCCTCAGAAAGTGTCTCCTGTCATTTTGTGTCCATCCTGGACTCGCAGGCTCGGGGCTGACCTTTCTTTGCAGTTTCTTGGTTTAAGCTGCGTGTTCCTTTTCTTCTGTCTCCTGGACGCGCTAAATTCTTTCCATCTTGTGCAAGTGTCTCTGGGAGAGAGAGGACAGGAGGGAGGGAGGGAGGAAGGGAGGGAGGGAGGGTGGGAGGGAGGGAGGGAGGGGAAGGAGAGAGGGACGAAATACAAGCAAATGAGGCACAATGGTGAATAGGATGAAGAATATAGGGGTTTGTTGCTGTTGTGATTTTTTTACAACTTTTTTGATGTGTGAACATTTTGCGAATGGTCAGAAGGACGGAGCCTCCTGACCTCTAGGCCCCTGTCGTCGCCGTCAGCTCACCCTGAGGTTTACCCGGCGGCTCTCCTCTTGGGCTCGGTGTTTCACGTCTGGCTTCTCTTTGCCCGCGAGGGAGGGTGGGCGGCCTGGTGAGCGCCCCTGCTTCAGTGTCTCCCTGTACAAGTCGGGTGTTTGCTCAAGGTCCACACAGGCCAGGGCCTGGGGCAGGAGACAGGGACCAGACTTTGGACCCCGAGCCAGCTGTCCCTCCTGGGCCTGGCGTGCTCTCAAATGGCTTATAGCTTCCCCTCCCCCCGCCACTGGGAGGTGGGGAAGGGGGTCCCCCCTCCTCTCTGCCTGCCTCCCTCCAAGGTGCCTGCCTTTGGCAGTATCCCTCTAGGACATCTGCTCCTCCAGGATTGGCTGCTGGGAGAATACAGTTGCTCCTGATTGGATGGTGGCAGCTGCAAGGCCAGGAGGTGGGCTCTGGGCCGCAGCTGGCCCCTGGCTCAGGAAGTCCAGGCTGGGTAGGGGGAGGAGTGGGAGAGCTGGCCTCCCCAGGATGCCCTCCTAGTTGCCACAGGTGGTGCTGGTTGTCCCTGCACCTGTAGCTGCCTGAGCACCACCGCCCCCCACCCCCGACAGGGTGAGCACTGCACCCTCCAGAGAACACTGCCCTTGTTCATCGAATGGACAGCAACCCAGGTCCTCCACCACCAAGGGCAGCACCCCCATCCTCCACCACCGAGGGCGTTCAAGGTTAACACACCGTCCATCCAGCCACCCCCCTGGGCTTTCCCTGGGGGAGCCTTCAGCAGGCTGAGCTGTAGAGTCATTTAGTCATTCAGTAGTTCATTCATTCAACAAATATTTGAGTGTCTACTTGTGCCAGGCACAGCTGTGGACACAAGATAAAGCTGGCAACTTCGTGGGAGGGAGACAGGTCATAAATGAGATGGTGGGTGCCGTGCGAGATGTGCTGGGTGGGGGATGATGCTGGGAAGGGACTGGGGGTGTGGGGGAAACGGGTTTGCTGTTCAAGGTAAGGTGTTCAGGAAAGACTCCATGAGAAGGCGGCCTTTGTAAAACAGGCAGAGGTTGGGGGGCGGGGGCCTTCAGAGGGATCTGCGGGTCAGAGGGCTCAGGTGGAGGATGACCAGGTGCCAAAGCCCTGAGGCTGGAGTGTCTGCGGGTTTGTGGGGCCTCAGGAGCCAGTGTGCGGGGGTGAGGTGAGCTCGGGGAACAACGGGGGGGGGGGGCGGAGGAGGGGCAGATGGGGGTCCCAGGCTGGTGCTGAGATTTGGGCTTTCGTTCTAAATAAAGTGAGGAGCCACTGGAAGGTTTTGGGCTAAGTAATGGCATCCTCTGATTGATGTCTAGGAGGCTCTTCCGGCTCCTGTGAAGTAGACCATGGGGGGAAGGTGGGAGCCAGGAGCCCCTTCGAAAGCTGTTGTGGGGACAAGAGAGAAGGTGGTGGCCGGGACCAGGGAGAGCTGGTGGGGATCCCTGCGAGAGGCGAGGGGTCCTGGATGCTCCTGGCGGGGGGGTGGGGGACGGTAATGAGTCCTTGCTGGGCTGGGATGACGGTGGAAGGGCAGGGCTGGGCACCATCGGGAGCGCAGCATGATCTGTTGCTGCCCCAGATGTTACCACAGTCTTTACTCTCGGTGTCTGTGGGCCAGGAGGTGGGGCGCGGTCTCCCTGGGTCCCCCGCTTCAGCGCCTCCCAAACTGCATCAAGGTGTTGGTGGGGCTGGGCTCATATTCACAGGCTCGACTGGGGAGGGGGGCCCCCCAAACTCGCACGGTGGTTTGAAGGATTCCGTCTTGTGGGCGGCTGGCCAGAGGTCACCCTCAGTTCCTCGCCATGTGGGCCTCTCCAACATGGCAACTTATTCATCAGAGCCAGCAAGTCAGAAAAGAGATGCCACTAGCAAGACAGAAGGCACCATCTACGTGCCTCATCACAGAAGTGACGTCCCATCACTCGTGCCACCTTCTGTTGTTAGAAGCAAGTCACTAGGTCCAGCGCTCACCCGGGGGAGGGGAATTACACAGGGCATGAGCACAGGGGCTGGGGGAGGCATTGGACAAACTGCTTCCTTTTTAAAAAAATATATTTTCGCCCAGGCCGAGAATCAATGATTCTCTCTCATCATTGATGTTTCTGTCTCCTTCTCCCTTCCTCTCTGAAATCAATAAAGAAATATATTTTTTTAAAAAAAATTTTTTTTTTTCATTGACTTCAGAGAGGAAGGGAGAGGGAGGGGAGAGAGAAACATCAATGATGAGAGAATCATAGATCAGCTGCCTCCTGCACGCCCCGCACTGGGGATCGAGCCTGCAACCTGGGCATGTGCACTGACTGGGAATCGAACCCTGATCTCCTGGTTCATAAGTTGATGCTCAACCACAGAGCCACACTGGCCGGGCACAAGCTGCTTCCCTCACACTGAGCAGCCCCACCGGTGGCCTGCAGTGGGCAGGAGTCGGAGTCAGGGGAGGGGAGGCAGCAAGGATGGCCCTGGGATGGGGAAGACGGAGTTCTGAGCCCACAGAGGCCCCGGGTGCCACTGTTTCTGCAGTTTGGGCAACAGAAATGTGCTCCCAGGGCCTCAGCAAAGCCGCCAGGGCGGGCGAAGGACCCCCCAGGAGCGCTTGTGGGCGAAGTGGGGAGATGGGGCAGAAATCCTTCCCGTCCTTGGGCCCGGTCATCAGCCTTGTCCGAGCCCCCGCGGGTCTGTCTGTCTGTCTGTCTGATGAAGGACGGGCGATGACCTTCACCCTCGCAGAGCCTCCAGGCCAAACCCAGCTGGCCTTTCTGAACCTGCTCCCCCTCTGCTTCCCCCCAGAGCCTTCCCGCGTGAAGAGCCCCAGGCGGGACCAGTGAGGCCGGCTCCATGTACCCAGAATCCACCACAGGCTCCCCAGCTCGGCTCTCCCTGCGGCAGACGGGCTCCCCCGGCATGATCTACAGGTGACTCCTGCCCCCCCCCCCCCGCCCCACCCCCATCCCCGTCAGTCCTGCCTTCAGGAGGAGCCCCCGAGGCCACTGTCTTCCTCTTGACCCGGGGAAGGACCGAGTGAGGCCCATGGGCTGTGAGGTGCAGGGGCAGGCGTGGTCCCTCCAGCTCCCCCATGCCCTGGGCGAGGCTCAAATGCCGGGAGGGTGGGGTGGGGGGCGGCCTCTTCCAAGCACAGCTCGGGTCTCTCTGGGTAAATCCCAGGCTGACCACATGGAGGGGGCAGGAGGCATTGGGCCGAGCTCGGAACCCAGGAGGCATCACTGCAGGATACCGGGGCCCAGGTGGGGTCCTGGGGCCCCTCAGTCCTGGAGCGCTGGGACCTGCCTAGATGGTTATCGGCCTGAGCCCCAGCCAGTGTCCCGGGAAGCCACAGGGGAAAGGACTGTCCCTCCAACAAGACCCTGAGAGCCCACGGCCGCATGCAGACTGGCCAGCACGTGGGGTGACTGCCGGTCTCGGTTGGAGGTCTTTCCACCGAGACAGACCTTCCCCGGTAGTGGGGGGGATGGGGGGGGGTACCTCCACTCTTGTTTCCTCTTCTCTGTGTGTGAGTGAGGCAGGCCCAGGACCCGGGTCCCAACAGAACGGGCCTCTGACCCTACGCGCCACTGGGTGGCGCTGCCGCCGAGCGCTTGGGCCCGGCGCGCACCCTCCCGACAGCGCGGAGCCAGCGGCGCGGGGTGGGGCCGGGGCTGCGCGCGTCGCGACGGCTCCGGGCTGGCAGCTCCCTGTGGTTAATGCCGATTGTGGACTCTCTCTTCTCTCCCTCCTTCTCTCCCCCATTGCTGCCCGCAGTACTCGGTATGGGAGCCCCAAAAGACAGCTCCAGTTTTACAGGTAACGCGCGCCGCTTCCCTAAGCCGGCGCCCAGGGCAGGGGTGCGGGTGGGAGGGCCGAGCGCTCCGGTGGGTCGGTCGGTCGGTGCGCAGGGTGCGCTGGTGGTTTCTCGGAGATAGAATTCCCCGACGAGGTCCGGCCTGTCCCTGCGCCCTCTCTCCTGTCCTGGCCTAGACCGTGAGGTCGGGGTCGCGGGCTGATCTGGAATCGGCTTTGATTTTGGCAAAGGGGCTGGTGACACCTGCTCAGCTCGCGGGCGCCCCCTAAAGCCTCCCTCGGGCGCGGAGGAGGCGCTTTCCTTGCCGTCATGGGTCACGGTTTCGGGGTTCCCAGAGTAAAAGACGCTGTGGCCAGCCCGTCCGTCCGCTATCCTTGGATGTGAGCTGATGGCAGCCTCCGGTGATCACAGGCCAGCTCCCGCTCAGGTGTGCGGCTCTGGCTCTGGGTCCGAGTGGCCTGGATGGGGGAGGCGGACTCGCTGGCGACGTTCTGATGCGTTTCCTTGTCCCTTGTCGGTGAATCAGCGCCCCGTGTCTCAGGGCGAGAGGCTCTGTCCCCAGGGATGTGATGCCGAGGGCACAGGCAGGTCGGTCAGCAGGGCCGGCTCAGGCTGTCTCGCCGCCTCCTGGGCAGCCGCTGCCTAACCCGCACAGCAGGGAGGCGCCCCAGGAGGGCGGTGCCCCAGGAGGGCGGCGCCCCAGGACAGCGGTGCTTCCCGAAAGCCTGTAACTCTAGGTACTGACTCTGCCACTTTTCTCCTTTCGGGAAAATGTCAGGATGGGGGTCCGCGGGGCACCCCGCCGCCCTGGGACGGTGTGGGGACTCCCTGCGGCTCTCGGGGGCAGGGCCTGGTGTCTGGCATTCGGGCCTGGGAAGCGGCTGGGTCCAGAACCAGCTCCCCAGCGTCAAGCACATCCACCTGTGACGGGACGTGGGGTTCCTGCGACGCACCAGACATCTCGGGCAGTGGGTGCAGGGCCGCACTGGGCCCCCGCATGGCTCTTTCCCTCCTAAAGCCCTGGCACCCCTGACTGTGACCCTGGCCTGGGTCCTTGGGCTAATTTTGCCGCTGCTTCAGGGCCTCCCATGAGCCCCCCCTTACAGAGCGCGCTAAAGAGATGCGCCTGCCTTGGTTGCACCCAGTTTTGCTAGGCATGATTTTGCCTGGACCAGTTGGGTGTGAACCTGGGCTTGCACATGCGCTTGGGTGAAATGTGCATTGTGGTGTCTGTATGCAACGGCCCAGCCTGTCAGAGCGAAGGGGGGGGGGGGGGGACCCATCCCAGCAGGACCTGACCAGTGAATCCCAACATGCGTGGGCACTGCACCCTCCGACACCCAGCCTCCTCACTCCCGGGAGGAAAGGAGCACGAGACAGGCAGGCGGGAAAGGCCCCGTGGGCGTCCTCGTCACCCGGGCACTGACGTGGCTCCCGGTGGCTTTAAGTCAGTCAGCTGTGCATGCAGTGGAGCCTCTCCGGGAACAGGGCAAAGGTGTTCAAGGCATGCCCTGCCCTCATCCCTGTATCCGTCAGCTGTTAACAGAATGCTGCATAACAAACAGCCCCCAAACTCATTGTTGTACGAGAGCCGTTCATTTCTGCTTGTGTGTTGTGGGTTGAATAGAGCCGGTCCATCCAGGCTGGACTCGGCACTGAGCTGTAGGTTGGGTCCAAGTGCTCATCCTCCCGTCCTTGCTAGCCAGGGCCTGTCCCAGGCCCGTTCTTCTCGTGGCAGAAGCATCAGGGGGAAAGCAGAAACCTGTAAGGCAGTGGTTCTCAACTTCCTAGTGCTGCGACCCTTTAATACAGTTCCTCATGTTGTGGTGACCCCCAATTTCATGGTTACAAATTGAACATAATGAAAGCATAGTGATTCATCACAAAAACAAAATGTAATTATATATGTGTTTTCCGATGGTCTTAGGCGACCCCTGTGAAAGGGTCATTCGACCCCCCAAAGGGGTCGCGACCCACAGGTTGAGAACCACTGCATCTGAAGGCCAAGGTTAGAACCCACGCACTGTCACTTCTGCTCATTCTTTAAGCCAAAGTGAGTCCCATGACCCAGCCCGATGTCAGAGGGCAGGAAAGATACTCCCCACCATCACCCCCGTGGGAGGAACCAGTGACACAGAGAGGGACAGAGGGTCGGCAACAGAAACGCCACCTGCCCAGGGCCCAAATGCCCCAAGTGTCCAAGGTGGACCGCATCTGGAAGAAGGCTCGGGCGCTGCCGGGGACCCAAGGAGGACGGGGCCACAGCCCGCCAAGAGTCAGGGAGGCTCCTCGGAGAAGGCAGCACTGGGCTCTGAGCTGGACCTTGAGGTCTAGACAGGATTCAGCACAGAACCAGGAAGAACGTTCCAGTTGAGGCGACAGCCTGAGCCACAACTCAGAGAGGTGCACAGAGAACAGGAAATGGTGGCTTCACAGACGGGCCATCAGGCCTGGGACATGTGACAGGACTGTAGAGGTGGACAGGGGCCTGAGGAGGGAGGAGCTTGGGCTGCATCATGGGGCCCTGGGGAGCCATGGGCGGTGTTGGAGCAAGGCAGGGACCTGGCTGGATGTGGGCGACCAGGAGAGAGGGAGAAGGCTGAACCGCAGGAGCCGCGGGAAGAGGGAGGGAGGGGGCGGAGCACAGGAACCGGGTGTCTGGAGCTGGTCCATGGGCTTGTCAACCAGGACAGAGCAGCCGTGGCCCGGGGAAAGGAGACAATCCTTGTTCGAAGCATGTCAGGCCGATGATCGCCAATCAGTGAGGCCCAGGGCCACCTTTTGCCCATGGGACACGTGAGGGATGTAGTGGACTCGGGCCTTTGAGAAAACCATCTCACTTCCGTAACAGGCCGTTCCAGAGGATAACACCGCCAGTCACGCCCCTGTCCTCTAGGGCCACGCAGGCACATTCCACGTGCTTTCTCCTCGGGCCTGGGGCTGATTCCCTCCCACCGCCCCCCACCGCCCCCCCACCCCCCACCTGGAGGCTGGTGGCCGCCATGCTGTCTGCAGGTTTGTCACGGGTGAGCAGCCCGGCCTCTGTCCAGAATCCCACATGCACTGGCCGTCCTGTTCGCTGCAAAGTGATGTCATGCTGAGACTTTTTGGCATCCTGGGGTCATGACCCTGGAACAGGGGCTCCGCAGAGCTTCCCCCCAGAGCTCAGCCTCGAAGCATTGACCAAACCCCAGGGCAGGACGCGTGCTGTGGGGAAGGGTCCCCATGCCCCTACCTGCGGGTGTGGCCAGGTGGTGTCCAATAGCAGGCTTCCCGAACCTTCCAGCCATTTATGGGCACTGGGTACCAATCTGGGCACATCCCAGTGGAAGGGGGGAGGGGCGTCCGTCCCCGTGTGCTGGGGGGAGGTCTCCCCAGACCTCAGCCCCTTGCATATGGGTGGTGGTCACATGCCACGGGGACCCCGGCTCCCCTACTGCAGACACAGCTAGGGCTGTGATGGGATGGGGCTGTACACCTGGGTCCTCCCCACCGGGGTTCTATGGGGGGCAGTGGAGGCAGGGGTGGCCCGAGGCAATGGCAGGACCCCCAGCTGGTACCCCCGCCAGCCCCAGCACCGAGTCGGCCTGGCCGGCAGCATCACGAGCTGCACTTCCCGGGCGGGCGTTCAGGGGCTGAGGCCTCCTGAATAATTCAGCCTGTTTCCCGAGACAAGACGCCCTAATAGGACTAATGGACTTGCTGCCTCCCAGCCGACCCCTGGGGGCCGCGCCTGTTCACCAGCTGCCTCAGGCGCTCCGCAGCGACACTCCCTAACGAGCAGCTGCGCGCAGACCCTGAGAGCGGCTGCTCATCAGCGGGGTGTCTTTTCCAACCAGCAGGCGCCAGAGCAGGTGAGCGGCCCTTCCCTCGGGGTCAGGGCAGCGCCTGCTTCGGGGTGCTGCCTGCGGACAGACGAGCGTCCGGGGACAGAATAACGGAGGGTGGTGTTCAGGGTGCATTGGGCTTTTTGGAAATTAGACCCACTATGTTTTTCCAAAGCCTAAAACCTCCCCAAAGCCAGCCTTGGGTGACCGTGGGGGGGAGCTGGGGGGAGTTGGGGGCTCAGTGCTGGCGCCTGCTTGCTCCCAGACCTGCCCTCCAGGGAGGCCGGGTGTCGGCTCTCACCGTGGGCTCACCGGGGAGGGTCAGCATTTTCCGTTTCCCGGGAAGGGCAGAGGATGGCTGGTGGCTGTTGGGGCCCGCGCCTGAGCAGGCCGCTGCCTGGCTGTGCCTTGGCTTGCTGACGGGTTCGAGAGCAAAAGGGGTTTTGTTTCTGCTCCCACGCCTCGCTGACACCGCCGCGCATTACAGAGCCCGCTCCCTGACGCCGCTCCCTCGCACCCCGCTTTCAGGAACTGTGGCTGGTTCCTCCGATGGGGAGAGGAATGTCACGTTCAAAGAGACCTTCAGGCTCTTTCCAAACCCCCTGCTTTGGTGGCTTTCGGTAAACAGACCAGAGTTCAGAAACCCCGTGGGACGGCCCGTGGAGGCCGAGGCCGCATGATCCCGCCGGCTTAGCGAGGCCAATGTCGTCCTCTCCCTCTTCCCATGTCCCAGGCTCCCTGACAAGTTTCTCAGGGCCCTGGCCCTCCACAAGGAAGAGCCTGTAGGGTAACGGCTATTAGCAATGGCTATTGAGGGGGGACTGATTTTCCCTGGGATGGGGTATAGGAGGGGAGGGGGGAGGAAGTCAGTGCTTTTGAGTTCTGGGAAGCGAGAGGGCTGGCCGGAGCCCCAATGATTCTTCCTGGGACCCCCTTTACCCAAGGACCCAACCCTGCTCGGAAGCCCTACGTGAGGAGGGCAGGAGCCACCCTGTCCACCCAAACCAGCGGCACCGGGGCCCAAAGAGCCTTCATGGGCCACACCTCCCTCCAGGGCCTTCAAAACAGAGGCGTTTCTCAGCTCCCCCCACGTTCTCCACTGTGCTTGGCCCTCTGGCCACAGACCCCCTCCTGGGTGCCAGCTCCTCACCCCTGCACCTTTCCCCGGGGGCTGC